GAGAGAGAGAGAGAGATTACTAACTTTAATTCTTTTAATTTCATTTTGCTCTGAGTTATACCACTTAATGGTCCCTTATCTTAGTCCAAACTTTACCTCAGTCTGCTGTTATTTCACTGTTGCTATTGAAAACTGCTAACAATAAAAAGTCCAAATTAAGAAACCAAGATTTAGGGAAAATCATGTTTATTTGTTTTTGTTTGGTTTTAAGTCAAATTTATCTTTGAGGTAATTCTATCAGTGGAATTAAACTAGTAATGAATTTGATTTATTAAGCCTCTTTGAATCTTGAACAGGTGACAGTTATGCTCTGGTCAAAAAAACATTGCTTCACTTTACTATTACTAATCTGGTCTTTATCCTCTCTGTGGTTGTGGATGGGTGGTTTATTGAGAAGGTTCTGATGAAGCAATTCCACCCACACCTTGGTTCTTACTATTTGGTTGTCTGTCTCCATTCTGTCTTCTGCTCAGTGTCCTGCATTAACATTATAAAATGTTTTTGGTGGAACCAGATGTCGCCATTGCTGGCTCTATGGAGGGTCAGGTATTTGTGTCACCATTCTTTAGTGGTCTGGTTATAACTTTGGTAGGGACCAGATTTTTGTGTGTGTGTGTGTGTGTGTGTGTGTGTGTGTAAAATACTGAATTTGCAGTATACTATGGTGTAGGAATATAAGATGAAGACTGATGTTTTGGTTTTAATGGTTATTTTTAATTGTAATTTCTTTTGTTCACACATTCACTTTTATTACATTTTAATTTGTACTTTCTCTTATCACTATCTTACATTCCACAGATTGTGTGTAATATGCTTTACATATTAAATATGCCTGTTCCTTTAAATAATGTTTGAGAAAGCAAAATTGACTGTTCTATTGTTAAATTGTGACAGTTTCAAAAAATTAATCTAATTATCCTCCAAACATCACTAGTGTGATGTCTGCACTAGCATCACACAGGGAAATGTTTTTCAAAATAGGTGTTGTTTTTTTTTTAAACATTTTAAAATGAGCCTTCATAGCCCTACTTACATTTATTCAAAATGAGTCCATATAAGAGTATCATTTGGAAAGCTATTTTCTATAATTTTACCTCTTGATGCAGTGAATGGTCGTCTTTTAATTTGTGAAAATTGGAACAGACTCCATGGAAACCCTCACATCTCTGAATAATTTACTACCCAATAAACAACTTATTATCCATTTTGTATTTTATCTCTGGTATGTACCAAATGGCTAGTAAACCTTTCTTACTAGTCAAGTGTGAAAACAGATGTTTATGAGCTGGAACCTACAATGTTTTTCTCTGCTCCATCACCCCACCCTCACAAAGCATGAATTTTCTCTGAGAAATGTATTTCCCTGTAAAGCCTAGTCTGAAGCAATGGATTTACCATTTCCTAGATTCAGCTTCATACACTATGTGTGCAGGATGATGCATGTTTGTGTGTGTGTGTGTGTATATATTAATTATAGGAAGAGCTGGTAGTGCTGCTTATAGTTAAAAACTGACACTTCCCATTATCAGTTGCTTATAACTTTGCCAAATGTTAACCATTCTGGCTGAAATTTTCCATGCTGGGTATCTGACTCAGGCTGAATTTTTTTAGAAAGTTTCAGCAAATGTAGCGAAGTGGTTTCTAAGAACAAGAATGAGGGGGGGGGGGGAATGATTTTAATGAAGTAAGCAATATGTATAAACTTATGTATGTTGTGGTGGTGTAGTCGTGTCAGTCCAAGGATATTAGTGAAACAAAGTAAGTGAGGTAATATCTTTATTGGACCAACTTCTGTTGGTGAGAGAGGCAAGCTTTCAAGTGACACAGCGCTGACCTCACCCACCTTTTTCTCTGTAAACTCATGTTCCACATTCTTTTATTTTAATATATCCGCTAGATCAATTTTGTTTTCACGGTTGTTCAATCCTAAAGAAATACTTCCACTCATCATAGTGACATTTGCCCTGAATTCTAAAACTTCCTCATTCAGCCCAGGGTTGAAAGCACCATTATTTTTTATTTTTGATATTCCTGAGATGAGTTCTTTTTGTTTGATCAAGTGCTTCATATATACCCAATTAGTAAGTGCACTTTTTGTTAGTTAGTAATACTTCATGGGTGCAAGCATTTTGGGATACAAGTCTAGCAGTTACATAATGAGATTGGGTTTGCCAGTTTCAGTTCCATTTGTATACATGATTGAGCCTCTCTATTGGAGAACCATGCCAGTACCAGTCTAATTTCTGATGCCCTAGAGTACTGTATCTCTTGAAATCTGGTAATGTCAGGCCTCCCATCTCAACTGGATGTTCCAGTCATTCTGTTTCGATTCTGAATTTTATGTGCTTCATGTACAAGACTGATTTCATTTGAACTATTGAAGAGCAGAAAATTTTGGTGTTGAACAGATAACGTTTGTTCTTTCAATCTGTTAACAACTTTTAGCATGTGATCAGGAGGTTTTGCTGATGCACTTGAAGATTCTGATTATAGTCGTCATCCTTAAGCAATTCCATTCTTCCCTCTCACAAGTGGTTCCAGTTGGTTCTGTTCAGCATGTGTGTAGGATTGCTGGGGGACATGTAGCCATGGAGTGGAATAGCTCCTTTT